TGGGGTCAATTAATGTTTGTGAGGCAAAATCTGCAAAAGACACGAGGAGGATGGATAATCGCATAACAGGCTAACAGGCTGCTTTTGCCACACGGTGTAATGAGATGCACCGAACACAATCACGACAGGTAAGAGTGAAGAGATTTTCAGTCCAATCTGAAAAACTGAAAGAGGAGCCCGTGTCTGTGCGTTGAATGATGGAGGCCGCGTCGCATTGTTTCCACTCTGTCCTGTGAGAAATCATCAGCCTCGTTCCCCCCAACGACCCGGCCACCTGGGGAAAATTTGGTGCGCAGCCGCCACCACCGCCACCATAGCTCTAATCCCTTCAGCCTCACGCGACCTCAGCAGCCGGCCACCGCTGGGCAGAGTGGTGTCAAATTCTACTGCAGTGACTCCAGAGCTGATATTCAGCAGTCACAACGTCGTGTCAGTTAATGATGTAACAGCCGGCTGTTTGCCTGCAGACAATAGAGAAGCTGTTTGTTGTTGATGATGATGAGTGGTGTCTGTGTTTCCACGGCCTCCTGGGAAACACTGTTTTAATGTCACTCATTCACAGGCATCGTGACAGGGCGATCTAGCCAACACCAAGCCTCACTCTGGATTCTCACTGATTGATACATTGTAGAACTGAAGCAAGTAATCAATTAGCTGAGCTATTAATCTGAACTGATTTTAAAATAGCTGGACACTATAGCTGGATTGAACACTGTAGATTATGTAATACTAGATGTGGTCCAATATATTTCCCATCCAGTTGGACTGTCAATATTTATGTGTTTGGTGAAATTTGCAATTACCCTCGCAGTGAGAACCAGGTTCAGGATCCAGGATCCATACTCCAGGATTTTTCCATATCACTTTGTACTTACATATTTAAACCATTTATTTGCATTTTTGGGTAAATCGGCTCTGAAATGATTTCTTTGCCTCCTCAGATATGGCTCCTACTCTGCCAACAACAGCACAAACTTCCTCACTAACATCCTGAAATATGTAAGAAAGTAATTGTGACACAGCTTCAACTCCTGGATCAAACCATCAAATTCTCCCATGCTGCCTTCTCCTGAGAACCGGATGAAACCAGAATCTCTGTTTCTTTGTTTTCTTGTTTAGAAACATCAGGACCAGCTCATCATTGCTTCATGTCAGCTTCATTTTTTTTCACTGTGCATCTTTTGAGGGTAATTTTTCTGCAAAAACACAATGCTTTCGGTGTGTAGATTTTTCCGATCTGAAAAATTCATAGTTTATAATTTTGCAATATGTAATGGCCTTAATGTCAAAAGCAGAGAGGTTGTCTGTCTCCTGAATCTAAATCCAAGCTGGATAACAGAAGATGGGTCTGAAAACTGAGGGATGAGACTGAGTCTCCCTATCTACTTTTAAATACCCTAGGAACCAAAAGTAACCCACCAGTTCAAACCCTAAGAACAGATATCGACATATAGATAAAACAGTTCACTCTTAAAAGATTACCAGTGGATGGAATGTAAGGTCTTATATCAGATATCTGTGGACTTTAAGGAAAGCCCTGAAAATTTAGCAGTTGTCCCCAGAAGCAAATCAGCTAACTAGCTGACAGGTCTCCAGACTCGTAGGGAATTTTGACTCTTTCTGCAAAGTAACATTACTTTTGTGATTAACTCTAGCACACACAGCAGGATTGCTTCTCGTGACTTAACTGCAGGAAACCAGAGCCCAGCGTTACAGAATTCTGTTATCTGGATTCACTTATGCTAACAGCTGCAATCAGTGTAAGCAGTCATATGAAGCTGGTTATCAGCACACTAAGGTAAACCAGGGTATCCCTGCGCATTCACATTATACGGGTGGAAGCATCTGATCAGTCCCACTTGTGTGTAAGTGTACTGGAAGCAGAACGGTTGACTTTACAAAGAAAGATAAAAAAAAAAGTATAATATTAGAAAAATCTGAAGAGGTTAAACACATAATACAGACTAAAAGCAACACAACCTCTGCAGACAAAGCAGCAGTATGAGAGGAAAACATTGTACTGAAAGCACTGAATGAACTTTGAATGGTTGAATGAATGGCAGCCTAAGGCCCTTTGGTCAATAAGACTGGACAAGAGCTACTACGTTAATAAGGTTCAGACAGGCAGGAAGGAAAGCTGTCAAAAATGCAGACTGTACGTTAAGAGACACCAACACTACAGCTCTGTCATTGAGAAGCAAGAGAATCTGATCAACTATAATCAAGCATTTCATTCAATTAAAGTTTAGAAGACAGTTTGAGTTTTTATTCTTTCAGCTGCAGCCTTGGTGGTGTTTAACGGTTTGAAAGCAAGTACTGAATAAAGGCTTGGACTCTGATTTGCTACAAAATCCACAAGTGTAAATAGGCCTGCAGTTTTATTTTACTACCTACCCACAGAGGTCAGAGGGATCTTTGAGCTCATTGGTCATTGGGTTGGCATGTCGTACATGCTGATTTCAAATCTAGAACATGGCCATCTCTGGAGCAGCATGAGGTACCATGGTGATATACCCTGATAAGAAGTGAACCACAGAAAACCCAGGGTTAACCCTGAAGTTACCCGGATAAGACAAAATCCTGCTCTGTAATATAGTCTTTAGGTCGAATCGTGAGCAGCAACCAATTCATTTTTAACAACACGTGTAACTGCAAAGACCAGCAGACAGAATGCAAGTATTTAACACATCCAGATGACACATTATCTCTACAATGAAGCATAAATTGGCTAAAGAGACAATCACTGGTAGAGACCAAAATCAGAACAAGAAGGGAGAACATTCATTTATAGGACTAAAACACAAGATCCCATAAGGAATAATCATGCTGGCTTGAAATGAAATTAAGTGTCAATGGGTAGCATGCTATTGATGATGTGATCAACTGATCAGACACCCAAATCATCCAATTCCCAGTGTTCTCAGCCCTGACCGGTGACCAGCTGGTCAGCCTCATGTAAGCAGCCTCAAGAATGAGGTGATGCATTTCATGCATGCACAATACGTGCACAGTGGCACCGGCAAACAGTCACAGACACTCACAGCTACAAGCTAACATCTTGTTAGTGTGGAAGCTCCTCACTATGAGTGAAAACAAAAAATATACCAAAGTGAATCACTGGGAGACCACCACCTAAACATTCATAACAGCAAACCTTAATCAGACACTTAAAGCACCCTCACACAAGTGAACATGGACATTTTAAAGAAGCTAACAAAGGAAAAGTGGCTAGCAGCCTCGTTATAAGCAAAGGTCTTAGAGAGAAAATTAGTAAAAATCTGTAAAAATCAGAATCTGCCAATGAAACTGTAATCAGTGCAGCTAAAAAAATTACTCATAAAAAATGCATGTCAATTTTTTCTAGCAGATTTCACAGCATATCTCTGGAGACTGAGGTTTCATGATAAGACAAAGCCACATCATATTGATCTAAGAGGTAAAAACTGATTAATCGAGATAATTAATAGCAGATCAATCTCTTAAAGCTGATATTCCCATCCTGCAAATTTTCACAAGTCACAGGTCACTTGCCAAAACTATACCACTTCACCATTAAGGTGGCAAGATTTAAATAAAAGAAATATTCATAACAAATAATAAATTGTGCAACAAACTGAGCTCGAACACTTGGATGATGCTCAGAGAGACTCTCTCTCGGAGGCCTGGTATTGGTTCATCCTGAGTCACCTAACCATCAGATTTAAGGAAGTGTTTGTTATTAACACTCCCTGATGCCATCTCTCCATGGTGCTGAGGACGTCACCCGGGCAATGTGTTACCAAGAACATCTTGTTTATCCTGAGCTTCTCAGCATCAGCACATGGTAAACTAAAGACTGCTTTCGTCTGGTAATTTGTTCAAATTAAACCTATTTACACTTTTTTTTAATGCATTATTATTTAATTTGACATTTAATGAGGATTTCCCTTATAGATTTTACACAAACTGGTAGAGTGAGCTATAAAGAAAATAATCTTCCTTTGTTAGCTTTCCTCAACATTTCCCCTTAATTACTCTCTTATTTCTTAAAAACTCCAATAGAGCCAGACGTAATAGCTGTGACATTCCTTTTCTCAATTTCCACTATAATTAATACCAAACGCCACTCAGTTTATTGGAAATACTCTTTTAATTTACAACTAAACATCCAGGAAATATCCAGGAAATGAGCCAGACCCATAAAACCCTCAATTTGGTAATGGCTCCATGGCTATGACAGCATGTGAAAGCAGGTGACTGGTGTGAGCATGACAATGACAAAGGCAGCTCTGTGTGTGCTGCTGAAGGGTCGTCAAGGTGACTTGATAGCAAGGGCATCCTTTCCTCCACCACAGCTGATCTCCCCTGCACACCCCCCAAAACCAAAGACCAGCATCACATAAGCTCACACAGCAGCAGGGCCAGCATTTAAACGCCACCAAACACACACAGAAAAAACCCATCACACAGCCTCTCAGGTGCAAAGAGTAGAGTGAACAGATGTGCATTTGCAATTAATCTCCTTCCCCCTCCTCTGGATTTTCTAGAAGCAGAAGTGCTGAGCCTCTATTTGGTCACTTTCAGTCCTCATTTATTCGCCTTTTCATTTCTTTCTTTTTTTACTCTTAGTGACTTCTAGCCTCACTCCGGCTGGATTACACTTTTAATTGGAGAATCTGTTGAACAATAGGCGGATCCAGAGCCCCGTTGTTACAGACACCTCTGTTCTCCCCGCTGGCTGAAAAGCGCCACGGCACCGCATTAAGTTGTCAATAGCGAGTCCCCGTTAATCAAAATGAATAAACAGTCACTAACAGAGCTTCGGTTCTGGTTTCACCCCGCTGTTTCACACTGAGCTCGGAAGGATGAAGTAACGAGAGAGAGAGAAAGGGGGTAGAAAAGGCATCAGCGCCTTCCAGTAAACCGCTCAGCGGGCTGACAGGAGCGTGTCATCTACCGGGGAAATGAAACACACACACCGGTCTAAAACACAGCAGAGAGCGCACCTCTCCGTACCTTACCGGGTCACACAGCGGAAGATTCGATAGATGCTCCGCAAATCCGCAAATTGCGTCAGCGCAATAAATCCCGGTGCTTGTGAGTGTGTGTGTGGGGGGGAGAAGCTGGGAACAATCCTCCGTGTGTCTCTTCTCAGGCGCTCTCAGCCAGCAGTCACCGATACACCGCCGCCGCCGCTGCTGCTGCTGATGCCTCCGGTAGGAAGAAACCTTGGAGCGCGTCACCGACAGATAGAGAGAGGCAGAGAGGCAGAGAGAGAGAGAGAGAGAGACGTGCACGACGGCAGGGTCTGGTGTCTGTCAGCGGCCGGTGGAGCCTGGGACAGCAGGGGGGGATAGAAGTGAGTCGGGGGGTAGTCGTCAAACTAGGTTATGACATAAAATAATAAGAAATAAAGAAAGCGCTTATTGGTTTGATATTTCATCTTCAGCAATTAACCGGGCATTGAGGCAGAAATTTGGAGCCACATTATTGAGAACCAACTGAATTTTTGTTGGCAGCAAAGCCAGAGCTCTTTATCCCAGAGTAAAAAGACAAGCTCCCATACCTGAGTCCTCTCTACAGGTCATTGTTGTTACTTCACCAGGATCCGGAGCTCTAAAACAGAAACAGTGAGTTTGGTTTCTACTGCTGGTCAGACTTTAAACCAGGTGTTGTTCCAAAAAAATTGATTTCCTATGTGTGTGTGTGTGTTTTATGTGTAATGTCTTTGCTTATATTGGAGAATAGACTAAAGGCGACAGGATTTATGAAGGGTTTGTTTCTGCTGCCCTCTTGGCCAGATCTGTTAAAGCAAAAGTGAGCCTTTTTAGCTGGATAGAAAAAGATAAAAGTCACTTTGTCAAAAGCTCCAGTTTCTGCCTTGTGATAGAAATTCAGTTAAATTCTTAGGTATAGCGCCAAATCACAACAGCTGTTCCATCGTGCTGGTTTATATTGCACAATAAAACAGAGAAAACCCCAAAAATCTGATGCATAAGCACACAGTGGGAAGGAAAAACTCCCCTTTAGCAGTATGACATTTCTGCAGCAGAACCAGGCTCAGGGAGGGGCACCCATCTACTGTGACCGGCTGTGGGTGAGGGGAGTAAGACAACAAAGACACACTGTGGAAGAGAGCCAGAGATTAATGGGTTAACCCTATAATTAATGAGAGATATTTTTGATGTATGTTTCACAGATTGTAGGCCAACAGGTCATTTTCAACAGCTTAAATCTGAACATCTGATCAGTTATTTGTTTCTTCAGTGACACGTCACACTGTAACAGGGTGTGCTTTACTACTTCTGCCTCGAAAAACCTCATTGGAGCCAGCTTTAGGTTTAATACAGAGATCAATATTTTACCACTGAGCAGAATCTCACTCTGCAGTGTTCCTAAACCTGCTAACTCACTTCACTCAGGAGTCAAACTGACGCTTTGCTTTTTTCCTCCACCAGGCACACACTCTTATAAAACAATGAAAACAAGTACAGTAAAATTGGGCTTTTAACTGAGGTTCATTTATCCAACAAAACGCTTGAAGTCAATCAAAAATAATAAGGTTTAAACAACTAAAAGGGACTAAAATGTTCGGAACTGTGAATAATTAAGTTAGGAATACATTTCTTTTGATGCACATTTACACAGCTTTTAATGTGTTTACATATTATAAGCATCTACATTCCCAGTGCAGTGAAATGTCCACTTGTAAAACTCTTTTCCTACTTACACAGATCTATGCAGTAATAATGACACTAGTTTGTTGCGGAAGCCTCACTGTACTTCCATGATTATACAAGACTTGTATATTGGATGTGCTTTGTGTTTGTATTAATGAGACAGTCATTGAGAGAGAGAAAAAAATGGAGGACATCATTAACCTGCAAAAATGTAACCTTTGTTACCCTCCTAATAATGACTCACAGTCCTGTCAGGTTTGGCACCCGTGGACATGGCCCGATGCTGTTTTTTTCTATTCTTTCTTGGCTTGGCGGTGATGTTCTGAAGAATTTTTTATTCATAATTACATTTGTCTGTCATCAGTGATCCCTCAGTAGTCTCAAGGCTTTTGTTGTTGCTGAGCTCATCAGTGCATATTGCACCAGAGTGTTGACTGACCACAGTAACTAGAGTTTTCCTTTTTTCAAAGCTTAATGATGTCCTCCTTCCTTTGGGCCAGCATCCGTTTTGACTACCACGTTTAAGATTCCCGTAAACTGCAGCCAAATGCAAATGCAGCACTTGGAACACACTCCACACCTTTAATCTTCTTAAATTTGTCATGAAATCTTGAGAAAAAAAGCCACCTTTGTCCATGAACCAAATCGCTCTCCATTGTGCATTATTTTGAGAAATTCACTGAACTTTATTCACAGCTTGATTTAATCATTTCCCACTAACTGTGGTGAGGCACAAAAAACATGCAGAAATACTTGACAGAAAATGTAAGTGCCCAGTCTCAGAAGTAAGGACCCTTTTAGTGCTGTTACACTGGCATTTTTAGATTAAATATGACAACCCATGCAGCAGCCAGCTGCAATAAGTGGTCAAAAAATGAAATTTCTTCAAACGCTATGACTGTTTTAATAAGCATTAGTAAATGATTACCTAATCTATAATGAGTTAAGCCATCGCATACAATCTTTCCATTTCGTGAAAGCAGAAAATACATGCCTGTTCCTGACAAGCAGGATCAATACAGTACATTATCATTAAATTAAATATAGTTGCAGTCAGATAGACACATTAGGCAGATGAATGAGTTGTATGGCCTTCTTTATTTTTGTAACACTTTATGCCAATGCCAAAAAACCCCACACAGATATAGATGGAAATAGGCACCAATCCCAGTGGAGAAATATAAATATATGCTGATAATAAATTCTTCAGCAGCAGTAGAAGCAGGCTGTAACCTTGGCAGGAGAGTTGACAGGGAGCTTCAGTCCCAGTGGGCAGCCAGAGTGGGAAAATAGAAAGCTGCAGCAGAGACATCCACTGGGGACAAGCATCACATTTCATATACACGACGCAAGGAGGCCTGCAAGGCCTGAGATGGGGCTTAAAGCATGTAGCCTGGTAACACACAGTGAGGTAAAACACATCTGTATGTGTGAAGCTTCCTGTTTCTGGTTGGTAAGTTGCTGAGAAGTTTGAAATGTGTTATCAAACATGCAGGCTGACGATGAGGAAGCAGGTGGTATCTGAGCTGGATATCTGGCGTCCCCTGGTGGTGGCTCAGGGCACATGCAATCGATCAATTTAAAGTGTACTACATGCAACTATGAACATGTCAGTCAGCTAAAACAAAGCAATAATGGAAATTGAACAAAATAAAGTCATATATATATATATATA